TAAAATTAAATTGATGGTGGTATAGGATATCCCAGAGGTAGTGGTTAGTAAGCATGTTTTTAGGATACCTCTCTGTTCTCTGAAAGAAAGAAAGTTCAAAAAGATAATTTACTTTTGAATATGTATTTCCACATTCTAGTTTAAGTAAGAAAGCATTTCTAGATCTGTATTTCATTTCCCAAATATGTATTAGAGTGGTAGAATTTGCCAGATCACGAAGAATTATAACTGCAACCCATCTGATTGATGCCTTTCTTTGCACAATTCGTTCCTGCCAGGATTATGTGAGGAGGTACTCTGGCCTGCTCACCCTATGCTACTTTAAGTATATGCACACACACAGAAAGGAATAAAAATAGCCAGAAATTGATTGTGTTGATATTTGGAATGAATCATTGTTCCAATTCTGTGTGTCTAATTAGCCACAGCTCTTCAAGAATCAGTGCACATGTCACAGGGTTTCTAATGTTGGTATTTCATTTACACAAAAATGCTATTTGATGGCATAAGACTATGAAAAAGTAATAGTCACTGCAGACAGCTTGTAGATTAGGCAAAGGTCACTGGTTTTAAAGAATCATGCTGTTAATTAGTGAGAAAACAACTAGAACATGTGCTTTTAGGCATCATCAATTTGTACCCAAAAAAAATCAATCAATTTTTACTAAAAACCACTTTAAGTAACTAAAAAAAAATAACTGCAAGGATAGATTTAGGTCCTGAAAGATATATCAAAGCCAAACCCATTAATGAAATAGTGTCGCAGTTCTCTGATGTGACACATGAAGAGATTTCTTTAATATCTGGAAAAGAAGATTTAGTAATGCTACATGAGTACTCTCAATAGCTACTGTAGACAGAATTCAAGATGAGTGATATCAGTGCTTCCTAGGTTTCTTCATTTCTCTATGCATTTCCTTGGTCTTTAATAAGAATAGGAAAGATGTTCTATGTTTAACTAAAATTATGTGAGCCCTGATGAGGAAATTCTGTAACTTCTTCAACACAAGTGACAGAAATAATAAGCATTGCTCTTGGTTCTGCAAGACAGCTTGACAAAGCCAAGTTTCTAGCAGCTTCCACAAGAAAAGACGGAGTTAGCATTAATAACACCAGCCTTACCTTACAGCTTTGCTCACGGTAAATCATGGACCATATTATTCACTAATCTCTTCAACAGTTTAGCTCAACTAGAACCAAGTAACAGAAGGCTGACTGATTTACTTAAGATACAGCAACAAAGAAGAATCACTTCTCACCTAAATCATTTCAGCTGAACCAAACAGATATTCACCTCATTGGAAAATAAAATGCAACCTCCTCTTAAGGGTGATTTAGAGAGCACCACTAAATTAACACAAGTGAGATCAGATATAGCATCTGGACCTGGAGAGGAACGCATTTCCTCCTATGAGTTGATTCCCTTGGCTAGACTGCTGACAAGGACTATTTTTTTCATTGAAAATTTTATTGAGATAGTTTTAGAGCCTCATGCAATTTTAAGAAATAATACTCAGATACCCTGTGTACATTTTCCCCACATGGTAACATTTTGTAAATCTGTAGTACACTATCACAACCAGGATAATGCTGTCAATACAATCCCCAGGCCTTGTTCAGGTACCTCCAGTTTTACTTGTACATATTTGTACATGCATTTAGCTCTCTACAATTTTATGACTTATGCAGACTTGTGCACTTAACAGGACAGTCCAGACACAGAACAGTTTAATCACCACAAGGCTCTCTTAAGCCGCCCTTTTTATTACCACACACACTTCCTCCCTCGAATTCGTCCACCACCCTCTCCCCACAGTGGCCCAAAGCTTAGCCACCGCTGATTTGTTCTCCATCTCTTAATATTTTTCATTTCAGAAAGGTAAAATAAGTGGAATAATATGGTATGTAACCTTTTAAATTGGCTTTTTTTCACTCACCATAATTCCCCAGTGATTTCTCCACCTTGTTGCATCAATAGTTCATCCATTATTATTGTTGAATAGTATTCTGTAGTAGAGAGAGAAGACGGCATGTTTAACCATCCTCATGGTAAAAGACACCTGAGCTGTTTTATTGTTTTGGTCATTATGAATAAATCTGCTATGAATATTTATAATTATAAGCTTTCATTTTGCTAGAATGAATGTCCAAGAGTTCAGAGGCTGAGTTGTAACTATTAAGTTTTATAAGAAACTGTAAAATAATGTTTTCTGGATGGATTGTACTTTTTCACATTCCCATCATGGATGTGCAAATGGCCTGGCTTCCCCACACCCTCCCTAGCATATGGTGTTATTGCTATTTTTGGTCACTACATTTTATTTTAACCATTCCGATGTCAGTGTTGTGCTATCACACTGTGGTTTTCATTTGCATTCCCCTGATGACTGATGATGTCAAATATCTTTTCATCTGATTATTTGCCATCAGCACTTCCTCTCTGATGTGTATCCTCTCCTATGATGATTCTACTCATATATTTTGCCAATTTTATAAACAAATTTTTCCACTGTTGAATTTTAAGATTTCTTTATATATTCTATATACTAATCCTTTGTCAGATATGTGGTTTGCAAATATTTTCTCCTGGTCTATAATTTGTCTTTTTATCCTCTTTATGTAAGCTTTCATAGAATAAAACTTTTAATTTTTATGGAGCAAATGCATCAATTTTGTCTTATTATTTGTACTTTTGATGTCATCTAAGAACTCTTTGTTTAGCCAAATCCCCAAAATCTTCCCTAATACTTTTCACTAAAAGTTTTACTGCCATGAACCCTTTAATTTGATTTCTGTACACAGTGTGAGGTCTGGATTGGTTTTTAGGACGTCTTCAGGGGTGGTCTTGAGTATTCTCCAGCATTGATTGTTGAAAGGCTATTCTTTCTCCATTGAATTATATCACATTTAAAAGATGAATCAGAAAGTGTTTTCTCCTTTTCTATTTTCTGGAAGAAATCATAGGAAATTGGACTACTTTTTTTTCTTAAATATTTGGCTGATTACAGCAGTAAAACCATTTAGCCTGGACATTTCCGTTTCCTTCTTAGTTACAAATCCAATTTCTTTAGAAGATATAGGACTTTCCAGATTATCTATTTCTTCTCTGTTGAGTTTTCATGAATTTGATACTTTTCTTCTGATTTGTCAAATTTATGTAGATAGTTATTCATGTGTTTCTCATATTTTTAATAGCTGCAGTGCCCATGTAATTTAACTTGCCTCATTGCAGCATGAAAATAATGCAGGGCTGTGGACATACTTTTCTTAAAAACAGTGGGCACATATCTATTGCTGTATCTGTTTTCATGAAAAAGAAAAATCTTTCCATGGTAGTACCTGGGGGTTTAGGCCACATTTCAGTTTTTCCTGGGTATCTCTTATAGCATGACCTCTGACAAATGGAGTGCCAAACGTCCTGGTTTAAATTAGAATTAATGGAAAGGATATGCAAAGAATGGGCCTGCATTTAAACATAGGCTGAATGCCAACATGATTACTCGAGCATTTTAGGCCTCAGCGTGGTTTCTATATGTAGAAAGATGTTCTGGATTTAAACCAGATGATCAGACGGGTTTGACACCTTAATAAATGAATAGATTCAACAGATATGTATACAAAGCTCAAACTAAACAAAACCCTCAGATCATCAGTGAGTAAGTATATGAATGATAGTTTGGTCATCGGTGCATAGAGTCATATTCAGGATGCATCCTATGAGTAGCTCTAAACCACTGTGAGTAAGCAGTGATGATGTGGGAGATTTATTTCCCATCATGAGAAGAATTTGTGAATTACTTAGTGCTAAATAACAGAAGGTTAGAATGGTAGGTCTCTACTGGGCATTTCAAAGCGGCAGCATATCTTTACAAAATCACTACAGAAACAGACATTTGTCTCAAACTTGCAACATAAAATGCCATTGTAATAAATTTGGTGACAGTTTTTGTCTTGGGCATGGGGTGAAAGAATGGGGCATAGATTAGAACCTTTACTTTCCATAATTCTCGATATTTCTGTGATATTTGGAGTTTACTAGATACCTTGCATTCCTTTTACAATGGAGCTATTATAATAAAACCGATTAATAAATACTGCTATACATTATAAATGCTGAGTCAATCCTTGTTTGAAAACAAGAAAGGAAATTCTAAAAGGAAAAACAGTTTTAATAAACTTAGCATCAGTCCCTATCGGGAGAAGAGACTGCTAATCTTGTGCGAGAGATACTTCCCTTTTACAAATTCCATCTGGTTTTTCCTCCTATGACTGACTGTTTAATGAGCCACTTTAGCTGCCCTTTCCCCAGAGTTCACTCACAACTCTTCCTAAATAATCTCAATGTCATTTTGCTGGCACAGGTGCTGTTTTCCAGGCAGCTGTTGCCAAAGGGCAGTATAATAATTAACAAGCTCCAAATCTAGAGGATTCAGGGTCTCATTTCTGGCAATGGATATGTGTGCCACACACAGGGTAATGCTTTTGAAACTCACTGTTTTATGAGGAGATTTTGACACTGTAACAAAAGAGCTCAGTGTGCTTCTAAGTATTTACTTCTTTTTGTTTGAAAACAGCTCTTAAAGAATTAGAGATTAGTTCAGTCCTTGCAGCAAAATGAAAGCTCTGTTCTCTTTAGAACTTGGCCATTGTATTGAGAATCTACTCTTTCAACTCAGATATTTCACCTGCAACCAAGTAGCTGAAATCAGCTACCCTTTATATTTTAGGGGAGAACCATTATTCATCCTGTACATTTAGGATTGAGACTGATTCTTAAATGTGTAATATTAGTGACCTGAAGATTAATCAGATTCTACAATAGGAAATTCAGATAGTATGGGGTTTTGGTATTCTTCAGGTTTCGTTTGTTAAGAGATGTTCTAAACTTTGGACATGTAGTTGTTAACATATTTTAGACAGCATGCCTAAATGCACAGAAGTAGGGCTCCTAACTGATTTTCCCCATGCTTCTCTCTGATACATCTTATCTGATATTTTAGGAGTTCGTGATGATTGTCGTCTTTGGTCTGGAGTTCATCATCCGAATCTGGTCAGCAGGTTGCTGTTGTCGGTATAGAGGATGGCAAGGAAGACTGAGGTTTGCCCGAAAGCCCTTCTGTGTTATAGGTGAATACTGAAATCCTAGCTCCCACATTTGTGACCCTGCATCCTTTTCTTCTGTTTCTTTTGCATTGCAACATTTGACTAAGTGCGAATAACCACAGATGACTCATTCAATTTTCACCTCCTGGACCTTTACACTGCAGATAGTTTTATTGACTTCACATTACAGGTGGAGAAACTGAGGCAAAGAAAGGCAAAATAAGTTATGAAAAGCCATACAGGTACTAAGTGGTAGAGCTGGAATTGGAGCCAACAGATCCTCCTCTAGAATATCCATTTACATGAATTTAAGTTATACTGAAACATATGGTTCTTCAGTGTTGTCTTGAATAAGGCAACTTATACTTCAATAACTATAAAAATAATTAGCTGTACAGTATGACATCAGGCCATGCTCAATCAGATGTAATGGAGACCAGTGTATTATTTCTGGTAATGCATATCAATTTACATCCTTCAAGAATGATTGCAAATATGGATTTCTTCATGCCTTGGTAATCTTAGACTTGACAAAATGTTTTACACTCTGAAATAAGATTCTCATCACTACACAATCCCCAGAGAAGTAGCCGATCTCAGTACCTCCCTATCTGCTGTGGTTCCACAGGGATTTCATTCTGCTTGGTTATACCTTAAAATTATAGTACTCAGTGAATATGCCATAAAGCATTCTGGAGTTAAGATCTGGCATTTCCCACTAATATATTTAAAAGCATACCCAAAAATTGAAAATTTCATAAATTAAAGCTATTGTTATTGTTGTTGTGATTAGACAGCTCCATTTTGCTTTTGTGCTCTTCTGTCTTTTTTATTTGTTAGGCAGCCATTCAAACCTTGGTTGTCCTTGCTGAGGCTTACTTACTTCACCTATTTGCAACCTGAGAAAGTCAGTTTTTAATTTACAACGTAGTTTCGACTATGTATCCACAACAGGTTTGCCTCTTTTGGGGGGAAGTCAAGAATTGTTGAGTAATCTCTAGTTGGCTCTGTTGCTTGTGTTCCCTGTGGTGGAAGCAGAGTAGATTCAAGATGAAGAATGCCTCTCCATCCATAGGCATTGGTAGGAAGAACCCTTTGTTCTGTGCTGTTTTTGTAGTATACATATTTCAAGGGAATTCAACCAGAATTTATGGAAGTTTAGAGTTACAGCAGTGAAATTCTAAGTTAAATCAATCTTTAAATGCCCATTTGACTTCACTACTGTAATCTATTTACCCAGCTGTCTCTCATCAACAAGAATAAGCCTTCATTTTGGGAGCTATCATTCTGAGATATAGAAGAAGGCAGGTGGTAATTTCCAGCCTTGCAGGTCTGTCCAGCTCCAAGGCACAGTAGTGAAAACATTTGATTTTTTTTTCCCTGAAGATTTTTCCTCTTCTGAATTCTTTGCTCAAGCAACATTATGAAGGACTGTAACTTGACATGAAACTACTGCCCAACAAGTACTCTCTGTCCCGTGAGGGACACAAACAAAACAATTCTCAAGGCAGATGGCTGGCCAAGATTCACTCAACCTCTATGGGATAAGGTTGGTTCATGGATGACTGCAGGAATGTTCCATTCCAGATTTTAAAAGCAATTAAAAATTGGTTTTGCTCCAATTCCAGAGGCAATGCCAATGTATTTCTGGCCTCCAGGCTAAAAAAGAAAGTTCTTCCCCAAATGCCTGCTGCTTTTTGATAGCTGTTTTCCACCACAATGGAAAACATCTTAGTCCTTTAATCTTTCTCTTCCTATCTCAGGTCCTTGCAGGTCTTATTCTAAAACTGATGCGATGTTATCTGTAAGCTTACTTACCTTTGCACCTATCAACAGTGACCTCAGAAATTTAGTAACATACGATTTAGGCAAAAATCTGTTTTCTTAGCTCTTCAGGCCTTTTTCTTCATTGTATAGTTCACATCTACTAAATTAATTCCTTTGAATGAAAATTCTATGTGTAAATATATAATAAATTCCCAATTGAATAAAGACCAAGTGTATATTATTACTTACAGTAATAATAGCCATGCATTTTTTCATTATTTTATTAAGTGTCCACGTAATAATTTGTTTTTCGTTTTCTTCTTTTTTTCATTAAGTTTATTGGTGCATTTTAGGTATACAATACAGTTACATTCATCATTGAGATCTCGTACCTTTATATGAGGTATCTTGGTTCTTATTTTTTTCCCCATTCCCCTGCCCTCCCTTCACCCCATGTAACAATTTGATCTAGGTTCCAGCTGAATTGATGTAATAGTGAAACATGTTCAAAGTGTCTTATCAACATGAGATCATTAAAAATTAACCTAAATTCATGACCCTAAATTGGGTCATGAATATGACCCAAACGTCATATGCTCTAAGGTAGCACACTGTCCTAGATGGCTGCTGAGACCTTTTCTTGGCCTATTTTGTAGGTCAAAAAAAATGCTTAACAAAATGGTAAAGTGGGCCCTGTGGCTTTTATTCAAGCAAATGTATCTTGGCAAAATGAAAAAAGAAGTAACACATCTCTCTCATCTGTCTGTGATAGCTGTTCTGAGTGAGAGATTGAAAATGTATCCAAAACTTCTCAAGACTTCCTGTATTTGTAAGATTTGATTACTCCGAACATGCCGAATACACACCCAAGCTTTTGTCCAAGTCTTGAGCATTCAAGAAAAGACTAGAATCCTGATCTATGCCTTTAATGTGGCAAATGCTTCCTACAACCACATCAATATTAACCTTTACTGTGGGAGACAGACAGACGCTGAAGCCCTGGTCATCCAGAAAGTCTCTTATAGTATTCTGCCTTCCTCACCAACTTATAGCATTTGGACCCAGTCAGATTGAGGTCCTGTGGGCTAGTTCCCCTTTTCCTATGAGTAGTACCCTTTCTGAACTGCCCACCCTTCCTATCCCTGAACTCCAGCCAAAAGCAGGAGCATTTCAAAAATTTATTGATTTAAGAAATCACAAAATCATTGTATATTTATGTCTGAAAAAATATTTTAAACAACCATAACCAAAGGGAATAGAAAAGTCTGTTTAATATTTTTAATTAAGGGCTTTCTTTCATTACTACATTGATTTTTTTTCTGCTTGATTATGAGAGTTTGTTTGCAAGATTGTTAAAATCTTATCTAGAATTACAGAAGTCTTCCTTGTTCCTATGTGTTCAATTTACATGTCTCCCCTAAGACGCTTTCATAATAACATTCCTGCAGCTGTGGGCAATAATCATCTCATCAATGATTTGGAAAATCAAGTATATTTTGGGATAACTACTTGAACTGCCCCTCATTTACTAGTGCTGGATGCTTTAAGATTTTCTACATTCCAACACGAGTCATTCACCAAAATAACATCAGTACTGAAAATGTATGAATAGCCTCAAAGACCAATATTATAGTCATTTTTTTACAGCTTTCATTAATGACTTTCCTGAAAGTTCCAAATAGCGCCGAAGGCTGACAGTTAGATTACGATAATGAACCTGATATGCCCAGAACACCAACATGTTACTCCCAACAGTGACTTCTTTTTATTCCTTGGTGATTCATAAAGACAGATATTAACAGGCCATATTTTTCAGCCTTTAGTGTGTCTCAGTAAAGCAGAAACTACAAGCCTGTTAGTAAATCTGGATCTATATTTGATGCTAAATGTAAGTTGATTTCTTATTGCTATTTTAACAGCTATTCTTCGGTGTAATATTTCCCACGACAGGATGAACGAGGCAAACCACAGCACAAATTCCTCTTCCCCACATGAACTAAGCATCTACCCTTGACCTGAGATAACAATTCTTCAGAAAAATGCCAATAATTGCATTTTTTTAATGTAAAAATGTAGCCAGCTTCTTACTCGCTTAAAAGGCAAACCACATTACTGAGGCCACTTAACTTATCTGTGATTTCCTCATATTACAAGGCAATTTAAGCTACAAAAGTGTCAAAAGTTACATCACAGACTTCCAGAACTCCCACTGGGCTGTAAACTAGACTTGAGACATTCATTTTTCTGCTTCTCTGTCTCTCCATCTTTTCTTCTAAGGGACTTGCTCTTGAACTAAATCATTTTCCTATACATTTTAATCTCTTTTCCCCCTTAGTACAAACTATATTCCTACAGGCTATTTCTCATCAATCATGATCTTCTGCAACTTTTCTTGACTTCTAAGTGTCCAAACTCCTTCAATCCACATAAGATTCCTTCCTATGATGAAATGGACAATTCAAGGGTTATTAAAACCTATTTGATTGATTAAAGAACATTAAAACCATTTCAATGCTTTTAGTTGATAGTAGCAATTACTTATTGAGAATCATTATATACAAATTGGAGCTCTATGCACTGTATTTATATTGTCCTGTTTAATCCTACATAAATACTATAATATCTCATTTTATACATGAAGAAGAGAGACAAGACTTAAGAAATTTGTTCAAATTCAGAAAGATGGAAGGCAAAGGAACAAAGATTTCTTTCTCATAATTCTACCTCAGAAAAACATACCTACCCAGCTGTTAAAAAAGTCCTATTGTTTAACAACTTAAAATTAGATGTAATTGAACATTGTGAGTGGTCATCAACTTAAAAACTGAGAACATAGTACTTTTATGTTTATCATTAGTAATTTGAGGTCTTTGAATAAAAAGCCATATATTATAAAATGACATTAATAGCAATATCATCCATGTTTATGGCAAGTATACTAGATTATCTATAATTTCTCTCTAGGCTGAAGAGAAAACTGGGGAATAAATAGACTTATTTGCCTTGAACCAGATTACACACATGTTTGAGCAATGTTACCATGAAATTCCCTAGGCATTTCCAAATTGGAAGCATCTTCAAGTATAAATAATGTTACTCCTAGGAGTACCATCAGATGTTTATATACATTTAGGTGTTCAGATAGACTATTCTTAATTTAGGTAATTGCTTAGGTGACTGTTGATCTGGTCCAAAAAATTGAATTTATAATATGATTTGACCATATAGAGAATACTCTTAGAGGAAAATGAATCAAG